GAACCCCACAACTGTTACTCAACACTTTTCCCTTAGCTTTTTACTCCCCAGTCATGGGGCTTGAGCTCAGGGCCTGGGCACTGTCCCTATGCTCTTTGTGCTCAAGGCTATCGCTCTATCACTTGATCCACAACACCACTTCCAGCCTTTTCTGAGTAGTTTATTGGAGTTGAAGAGTCTCACCACAGCCTTTCTTGCTTGGGTTAGCTTTGAACTGTGATCCTCAGATCTCAGCCTCCTGAATAGCGAGGATTATAAGTGTGAGCCACTAATGTCCAGCTTCCCTTAGTTTATAAGCTAAGTACCTTCTTTTTGTTTTACAGTGACAAAAGCCTGACTGATAGAGCAGGAAACCATTTGGCTAAGGGTACAGACAACAGTCCGAAGAGGAATGGTCTTGACGGGATAAAAATTAAGAGTTTCCAGAAGGGCTCCGAAGAAAAAAAAAATAGATGTGACTGTTTCAAGCACTGTGTTGATCTTTCTAGGAAGTGGCCCATATACTGTTGGCTGCTTTTCCACGTTTCAGGGAATGGAGTGAGCCCAGTAATTAAAGCATTCCAGAGATTACAGAAAAGGCTGCTCAAGCCTCTCTCTCTCTCTTGCCCTGTCTCTTTCAAGGGAGAAAGAACAGCTGTTGAAGCCTTCTTCAGAAGCAACATGTTTTCATAAAGGCACTCTCCCAGCATCCTAAGCGGGCTGGCAAGCTGCCCAAAGCCATTGGGGCACATGGGCTAGGTTGAAATGCTTAAGAACAATTCTGAGATGTCCAAAAAGGATATTGTATTTGAGGATAATGCCAAAATTCCAGCTCTCTGATCTGTATACTTTCTGAAGCTGCTTATCTTTTGTGCTTGCTCTCTAATCAGGAACACATGAGGCAAGGGTCCAAAGAATCATTGCTTCCTGGTAACACTAAATCAATACTAAATATAGAATGTAAGCCTATTGGGCTTATGGATCAGGGATGTTGGAAAATAAGCCTTTGTGCTAAATTGTCTAGCTAACCTCAGAGAGGAAAATGACAGCAGCTGCCCTGTTCATTGCAGTTCCAAGTTAGAAAAACACTGTCTAACGAATTCACTCCATTTTGTTGCCCTTTCATAAGAAACTTATTTACCAAACCTAGGAAGAATGAGTGGAAAGAATTGCGACCAAAGGCTTGGTTTATGGTAAAACATTACAAGCTTAGTTTTGTAATGCTATAATCTGACTTAACTCTCTTCTTCAAATAGTTGCCCTAGTACTATAAATACTAACTGGCAAGATGTGATTTTGAGTATTAGGGGAAAAACACTTTTCATGTGACACATTTCATCCTAGACTACATTCATTTTATTGTTTATTTAGAAACTTTCACAGTGACTGACCAGCATAATTGGGTATGTGTTATTTTTATCAATAATTTATTTTCAGATGTTCAGGCAACTGTTGTTTTAAATTGTTAAATGAAAAAAAAAATCATTTTCTAGTCAATGAGCCAAAAACATCAAGTCAATTTTTCTGGCTAGATTTAAACTTCATTCATGCAAAGCAAAAACAAGTAGTTGACATGCAAAAAAAGTAATTGGATGCTGGTGGCTCATGCTTGTAATCTTAGCTACTCGGGAGGCTGAGAGTTGAGGATCACAGTTCAAAGCCAGCCTGGGCAAGAAAATTTATGAGACTCATCTCCAATTTTCAAAAACTGGAAGTGGAGAGCTTAGGGATAGCACTCAGGTTCTGAGTGCAAGCCCCAGGACCGATTAAAACACATAAAGACATCATACCTCCTCTTTTTACTAAAAAACAATCTTTTGAAAGGTAGAGAAGTAGGCAAACTTAATCCTATAGATGCACTGTTAAATTGATACAAGATCACTTAGAACATGAGAATATATGTGTGACTACATGGAATACTATTAATTTTTAAAAATTTAGGCTAAACTTCACTCTATGAACATATATAATTCATAATTCTTGGTCTACTCATAAAGTCAACAACCATCAACCACTAATTCCTGACATTTCATCACCGTCTCAGAAAAAAACTCTAGGTCAGGCAGAGTAGCTAACACCTGTAATCCCAGCTACCTGGAAGGGCAGAGATCTGGAGGATTGCAGTTTGAGGCCAACCCAGGCAAAAGTTAACAAGACCTCATGTCAATAAAACAAGTTAGGTGTGGTGAGGCAGGCTTGTCATCTTAGCTGTGTGGGAGTGAGAGGAAGTTCGCAAAGGCAAACACACCTGAGACCCTATCTGAAAAAATAATCTAAAGCAAAAAGGGCCAGAAGTATGGTATACACTGTAGTAGTCCCCAGCAGTACAGCCAAAACAAACAAAGATCCTCTATACCTGTTCATAGTCATTCATTGCCCCATTCTTGTAGCCCCTGGCAACCTCTAATTGGCCTTCCATCTCTCTGGCTGTGTCTTTGGAAACTCCATATAATTGGAAACATATCATTTGTGGCCTTGTGTCTGGTTACTTAGCGTAATATTTTCAAGGTTCATCCACACTGTAGCATGTTATCAGGAATTCGTTCTTTTTTTAAAATATTTTTTTATTGTAAAAATAGTGTACGGAGGGATTACAGTTACATGAGTAAGGTAATGAGTACTTTTCCTATGGAGCGTTGTTACCTCCTCCTTTAGCCCCTACCATCCCTTCCCTCCCCACCTCCCCAACTATGAGTACAACTCACTCATATTTAAAATCACTTTACCCTCTGTACAAATCATTTTACCGAAAAACTCAAAGCCCACAGCTGTACATCCAACATCCATATTTTCAGCTCCAGGTATTTCTATCTCAACACTCTTGATACTCACTTTGCTATCTAGTCTTTCTTCTCATTTCAAAAATTACCTCCTGAAACACTATTTGCTTTTATGTGTGCCTCTTGATTATTCATAGTAGACCTACTTAGCTTAGCTGCCTTGAGTTTTCCTATCTCCCCCAGCAGCATCATAAAAGACACATTTACACACAGACACAGAGGTACAAATGCATGATTTGGAAGTTTGGGAATCTACTGTCTTTGTTATGTATATTTTTGTGTCAATCCTCAGGCTTGAACTCAGGGCCTGGGCACTGTCTCTAAGCTTTTTTTTTTTTCCCCTCAAGAAAAGTGCTCTACCTTGCTCCACTTCTGGGTTTTTAGTAGTTAACTGGAGATAAGAGTCTCATAGAGGGGCTGGGAAGGTGGCTCAGTGGTAGAGCGCTTGCCTTGCATGCATGAGGCCCTGGGTTCGATTCCTCAGCACCACATAAGCAAAAAGAAAAAAAGCCGGAAGTGGTGCTGTGGCTCAAGTGGTAGAGTGCTAGCCTTGAGCTGAAGAGCTGACGGACGGTGCCCAGGCCCAGAGTTCAGGCCCCACAACCCAACACCCCCCCCAAAAAAAAAGTCTCATAGAATTTTCTGCCAGGGCTGGTTTGAACTGAAGTCCTCATATCTCAGTGTTCTGAGTAGCTAGTATTATAGGTGTATGCCACCAGCACCTGGCTTCCATCCGCTGTCTTTTGAAAGGGAACCAAGACTGGTTGACTCCAGTACACTGACCACATGTCAGTAACCTTAAAAGCAATTGGTAATTCATTATACTTTTTATATTCCGATTAAAAATTAATACAAAATTATGCCTTATATCCTTAATGTCTGGCCACCTTATTATCTAAACAAAGGCAAGATTATATAATATTTGCCAACAATTGAGGACTGTAACATAGGTGGTTTCATTATTTTCTTGTAAAAATATGGACTGACCATTTGCTGGCCATAGAATTTTCTTTTGAAATTCTGCATTTTTTGGCTTTGTAATGATCTCAACAATTGCTAGGAAATGCAGTCAGAACCAATAAATAAGTGGTCTATAGTTTTGATTAGCTAAAGAAAAGCATATAACTTCCAATCGTTGTATTTTCCCATTACAGCAATTAAAAATGAGACTTAATAGTGAATGTTAAATACATATACATTTGCAGTAAAACACACTATTCTATGATCCAGCAATAATCTGAATGTGATACTTGGGGGGGAATGCAGTAAGAATGCAGACTAGGAATTGTATGTGGAATGGCAGATTTCCACTAACTAAAACATCGATTTCTGCCCTAGATATGAGCAACCTCATATAGGAGCATAGTACCAGCAGGAAGCTGTTCATGAACTGGGAGAAAACTTAAATGGCAAGGGTACTAATCCTTTATAAGATAAATTGTATTAGGAGTTTGGGGGTATTTATTTTCAAAATCACATTCTAATAATCTGAACCACGGTATAATACCAATTATTTTATTTTTATGATTATTATAAAGGTGATATGCAGAGGGGTTCCAATTACATAAGTAGGTAATGAGTTCATTTCTTTTTGAACAATGTTGCCCCTTTCCTCACTTTTTCCCAGGCCATAATGCCTATTCTATTGTACTTAAAAAAGACTGTGCCCGGGTGCCGGTGGCTCACACATGCAATCCTACCTACTCAGGAGGCTGAGATCTGAGGATCCTTGTTCAAAGCTAGCCAGGGCAGGAAAGTCTGTGAGACTTTTATCTCCAATAAACCACTCAGAAAATTGGAAGTGGTGCTGTGGCTCAAATGGTAGAGCACTAGCCTTGAGCTGAAGGGCTCAGGGACAGAGCCCAGGCCCAGAGTTCAAACCCCACAACTGACCAAAAAAAGAAAAGAAAAGAAAAGAGATTGTCACTTCTCCCCATAAAAATACCTTGTATTATGAAACTTTGAATGAAATTCAAAACCAAGGGTTTTTCCCCTCCCATATTCACCCTCCCACACTGTTTTTTGAGATAGGTGAATTTTGTTGTTATTGTTTTGGTGATGCTAGGCCAGCAGCTACCACTGAAGTATATCCCCAGCGCTTTCTCCAGATTTGTTGAATGACAAGCTATCAAACAATTTAGGCATTTTACCTTGATGCACAGCAAGACTAAACATAACACAATGTTGTTGTGGTTGTCAAAACTTCATCATAAGCTCTCACACAAAAAAGACATACAAATATGAAATTCATAACTGATTTATTGAATGAATAGTATATGCAAGAATACCAATAAAAGGAACTAATACTACAAACTACAATTTGAAAATAAAGCCAATATAACAGGAACAAAATATACATAACATGAGAGGAATGTTTGATTTTTGACCCATGACGCATTCCACATCTTTACAATTAAATGTCTGTTCAAACAAAACTATACCTTGGTCTAACCTTAGTGCTTTTTAAAAAAGCAACAACATGCCAGAACACTTTTACTTTTGCTTTGAGATATTTGAGATTCACACATTTGTTCAAGTACATAGATTCGGATTCAATAGTAGATCTACAGCACTGTTATTCTGTTCATATCTCGAGTAGCATGTACCTCTGAGCAAGTACAATTTGAAATTTCTAAAACTGCTGATCCTTGCAAGAGAATTTAAGTTGTGGGTTTTAATAAATTGAGATGAAAGTAAAACTCACCCCCCTCCCGTCTTCCCCCCAGGAACAAAGAGCTCTTATTAAAGTATAGAAACTTAAGTCTATCCTTCTGCTCTAAAGAACATTTATTACTAACATTTTCTGGTAAGGCAATAAATGCTCCAGAATCATCTTCAATATACGCTTGCAAAGGTTACACTGTTTAATACTCGTAACAACAACAACAACAACAACAACAAAAGTGAAAACAAAAAAAGGGGAGAAAGAAAGAAAAGGAAATAAAGAAGAAAAGACACTTCGAAATTTCAGGCTAAAATATGCATAAAAGACAGTAATGGCAGTATTTTTGGAAAACAATGTAAATGTCATATACTTATCAAATAATGTCATGCTTATTAAAACTACAGTTAAGGACTTAAGAGATGTACAGTAAATACACTGCTGAGGTCCATTTATCTAAATATTAATACCACAATGTAATTACTACCCAGAAGATGATGATGCTACTTGGGAACACAAGTACTGTACAATTTTTACATTGTAAGGCACTTTTACTCAGCATGTGATGAAAACATAGGTAGAGAATCAAAATATTGGAGGCTTACAGCCCAAGGTGATATTTCATGTGACTTCAATTTACATTTCAATTTTGAATGGAGGATTTCGCCTATTACACCACAGTGAGAAAAAACAGGTAGTCAGCCACCTATCTAGCCAACCAAAAGGTAAAGTGCTATTCTGGTTGGTAGTAGCAGAGAAAGGGCTGAAGAAACCCATACCAAGTTCTATATCTTACTACGCAACAAACCCATCAACTGACAGCTACAATAGTTGAAGTCCTTTACATAATTAGTGACTGGCCACAATTACCCCTGGCACCTTCCTTTTTTTTTTCCTAAAAAAATTCATTACAGTAGTTGTCTAAAAATGAAGGATACCTATTTCTCCATGGGTAAGTTGTATGGCACACAATGTAAAAAAATGATCTAGACACAGTGATTTCAAGATCTTTAAAAATAATAGTTTTCAAGCTGTTATAAGGAAATAAAGTACAGATCCTTTGGGAAAAGTCACATAGCTTGGTAAACAAACATTTAGATCTGTCCTTGTACTTCAAGTCATGACAAATTTTGAAAATGAATCACACACAAATGGTGGCATATTAAAAGCAAAGGGAGAAACATACATAGCAGTCCACTACTAAAGCTAGTTTCCTTCTAAAAATAACAATAAAAGAGTTAAAAGAGAGCAAGCATTGAGTCCCTTGATTGAAGTAAATGTGTGAACACACACTTGACAAATTGGATGCTAAGGGACAAGCAGTTACAAAATTCATTCAGCACAGTGTAATTTCCCACCTGTATACAGTTTAAAAAATGCTGTTCTGTCCGCTCATTGTATAGTCACTTCAATATGTTATTTCTTACTTGCAAATTTGCTCTATTGTGGTAGGTGAACTAATAACTCCGTAATCAGAATCCCTACCCTTTGCCTTGAGGTGCTATGGTACTATCAGGCAGACCACAAATAAAGTTGTTTTTGTTTTCGTTTTTTGGTTTTTCCATAAAGAAACATATAAATGTGCTTCAGCAGATAAGTGGAAGAAAATATCACTAGCTAAAAAATGCCAGTGTCCAAAATCCTTTTGAAAAAAGCTGGGTTCTTAGGCTTTTATAAACAATCCTGATCATTAGTTAATGACAAAATACCAAACCCCACTAAGAAGAAGAGTGGGGCCCCAGAAGCCTAGAAAACATACAACCAAAGCAATGACTGAAAAACATGGAAAACATGAAATCAAGTTTCTAAAATAGTGGTCACAACATTCAAAATAATTCCTGTTTTATGCAAGACTGTTTTTCACTCCTACAGCCCCCGAGCCCTCCTTACATACTCTGGGTCAAGACGTGAAGTGTTCCACGGACAGGGCACTTGGGAGGAACCCGTTTCAGACGTGGGGTCTTTAAAAGTCCTTAGCAAGTGGTAACCCCTTAAATCTCAAAGAGGTTTTAGTTTGCGGTTGGTTTGCCAAATGCTACTTTGAACCTGGAAAAGGATTCGATCATTTTGCCAGAAGCTCTTGGTGTGAGTTGGAAAGAGAAGAGCTGGTACTGTCAAAGAGAATTTTGGCATAAGCACTGGAGAGCATCAGAGCTTTTAATCACCAGTTGCTTGCATCCACGGTGGTCAGTGAGCCCAACTTTAACAGGAGCCAAAGAAAAGCTGGAGCACACTTCTTGGAAGTGACTTGAGAGCATGTGCTGTCAAAGCCAAGAGAGAAGAAGGTTCTCTTCATTTCTAGCCTCCATTACTGGAGTGCGAAAAAAAAAATCTCCACAAAGAATCATGGGTTGCCACCAGTGGCATGGCTGCATTGTAAAGTAAAATTTGCTTACGTTTTCCCTTGAGCATGAATCCACTAAACCAACTTAAACACTCTAAACAGTAGAACTTCGTTCAGTCCAGAAATAGAGCTTAGTTCATTTCAATGTCTGCTTTAACTGATGACACTCTACACAGGGTTAATAGTGTTTTCAACTGCTTCCCAGAAACTGCAAGCTACAGCTACGTAACATCAACATGTCAAACTCAGCCATCTAGTGAAGGCTTATATAGAACAAACAAGATGCTTTCAGGCAGTTCAATGAAGGATCTAAGAGTTGGGCAGTAAAAAGTTACAAACCCTTTTGGATTTTAGAAAACAGTGGAAAAAAAGAATAGTAGTTATGGATGTCTTATTCATTCCCAGTTTTCTAACTCTGTCCCATGAACCTGTTTAAAAGATGATAAAAACATGTAAAATAGGATGTTTGATGGGAACACAATCAACATAATGTTATAGAGGAGAATATCTTACTGATTTGACATTAGAACTACATTTACTGATAAAGTGGATAGCTTTATTTTTTTATGGTTACAAAATTGGCTAGTAAAGAAAGAAAAAAAAACAACAAAGAACTAGGCAAGTCTAAACAATCCTCAGCATTCCAGTAACATGCTCTTAGCTAAACAGAATAGATTTTTTAAAAATGTACTGCATTTCATTACTTCGCTATGTATTTATCAGTGTGTTTTGCATCCTGATAACAGATGTGGTATAATGAACTTTCATACCTAGTTTCCATTAAGTTGCTGCTGCATTAGTTGTTGCTGCTCAATTTCTACTTTTCCCCGGCTTTTACTCTCTCGTTCCTCATCTTCTTCATCTCTCTCATCATTTCCACTATGATTTTTACAATATAGTCTACAATGATGAAAGACAAAAATCTCAAAATCCTTTGTCACTGTTGATGAGAATACATTTATGCAATCATTAGTGGAAGAGCTTGGTGCCCATGTAAAACAGGAGTTTTTCATTCACAATTTTAAACACCCCCAATTCACTACCGGGCCATTCGTATCTAAAAGATAAGAAAATACACTACTATTGAGATAATAGAAGTTGATTTGAAACAAAACCTCCTGTTTATTTAGGGCAACCGTTATAAAGCAATCCCTTATTTTTCCCAGAGATTAAAAGCAATTTTTTGTCAGTCATGAGGCTTGAACTTGGGGCCTGGGCACTGTCCCTGACCTCTTTTGCTCAAGGCTAGTGCTCTACCACATTAAGCCACAGTGCCACTTCCGGTTTTCTGGTGTTTAATTAGAGATACAAGTCCCATGGACTTTTCTGCCCAGGCTGCCTTTGAACTGCGATTCTCAGTTCTTGGCCTCCTGAGTAGCGAGGATTACAAATGTGAGCCACAGGCACTTGGCTTAAAACAAATTTTGAGCGAATGAAAAAACAGTAAGTTTCAGATATATAGATGTAATATAAAAATTTCTAGAAATCCCGTATACAAAATTTACAATTATATTTCAACAAACATATTCTATGTACATTGCTACTTTCTGCTCATATTGCAGGAAACAATTCTCCTCAAACGTTTCAAATTACTTTTGGTCATGAGTGCCTTAACCTTTGCTAGAATATCTCCATAAATCATACAAAAATTCCCCACATTATATATTTGGCTGTCATCTCCAGAATGAGTCTTCTCCAGAATGAGTCATCTCCAGAATGAATCATCTCCAGAATGAGTCTTCAACATCATGTTGTTCCCATCACCTTTTCAGTATATACTCTGTATATTTGAAACTAAGTTTTTTTTTTTTTGGTGGCACGGGGTTTTTTTTGTGGTTTATGTTAATATTTGTTTGGGGTACAGTACTGGAGCTTGAACTCAGTGCCTCATGCTCTCATTTGGCTTTTTCACTCATGGTTGGTGCTCTACCACTTGAGCCACACCTCTAACTGCAGCTTTTTGCTGGTTAACTGGAAATAAGAAATTCCCAGATTTGTTTTCCTGGGCTTGCTCTGAACCATAATCCTCAGAGTTCAGACTCCTCAGTAGCCAGGATTATGAGCATAAGCCACCCACGCCCACACAGAAGGGACTTTTATGCAGCCATAAAGGTTATGGTAGTCAGCACATCTCAGTGTCCTGAATAGCTAGGATTATAGAGTACCTGCTTTGAACTCAGGGCCTCAACTTGTTAAATACATTCTATGACATTTGAGCCATGCCTTCAGCCCTTTATTACAGTTTTTAATAAAAATGATATGTGATTTTGCATAATCAGCAATAGGCAGGCTGATCTGAGCCCAATTTTAGGTCAATTACAGACTATATGACAGGAAAAGTGCTCTAAAAAATCTCTAAGTATGTACTCATGGTCACTAATGGATAAATGATTATATAGGAATATATGTGTCACTGATCATCTAAGCTACATCTAACATTTTAATAAACTAAAAGGGCAAGTGTGGTGTGAAGTATAGTAACAACTGACTTCTATCTGTGCTCATGAGTTTTCTTTCCAGTCTTAAACTATTTTCAATAACTGTCAAAGAGTTATGGAGGACTTGTGCCTTCACATGCTATCCACTGAAAACTTCCTTTCTTTTTAGTTTTTTTTCTGCTGCCGCCGTTGTCGCCACTGCCGCCGCGTCCTCCTCCCCCTCCTCCTCCTCCTCCTCCCTCCTCCTCCTCCCTCCCCCTCCGCCTCCTCCTCCTCTTTCCTCCTCCCTCCTCCTCCTCCTCCCTCTCCCTTCTTCTCCTTCTCCTCCTCCTCCCTCCTCCTACTCCTCTTCCTCCTCCCTCCCCCTCCTTCTTCTTCTCCTCCTCCTCCTCCTCCTCCTCCTCCTCCTCCTCCTCCTCCTCCTCCTCGCGAGTGCGCGCGTGCGTGCGTGTGTGCGTGTGCGTGTGCGTGTGTGTGTGTGTGTGTGTGTGTGTGTGTGTGTGTGTGTTCCTAGGGCTTAAACTCTAGACCTGGGTGCTGTCCCTGAGCTTTTGTGCTCAAGGCTTGCACTCTACCACTTGAGCCACAGCTCCATTTCTGGCTTGTTTGTTTTGGGTAATTAATGGGAGATTAGAGGCTCACAGAATTTCCTGCTGCGAGGAGCCAAGATAATAGGTGAGAACCAACAGTGACCGGCTGTTTCTTTTCCAATTATCAAATGAGATTCCTATACTACCTATGAAGCATATTCCCTAAAACATAACGTGAATCTAAACTAAACCTTTGAATCAATTTATAGAAAGTATAGGAGAAAGGGTAAAAACAAGTGCAATACCATCATAAAGTAGTAAACAGACACATCTACAGTTTGGGACTTCCAGAGGACAATTCATCAGGGTTCTTCACATAGAGAGAAAAGGTGAGATTGAGGAAGAGATGACTTCATGTTAAAACAGAATTAAATAAAAAATGCAGTGCATGGACTTTGTATATATACAAATTGGAACAAATTAAGTCTAAAAAGACACTTGTGACTGGGTGTACTGGTACATACCTGTAATCCCAGGTGCTAGGGAGGTAGAGATAAGAGGATTTCAGTTTGAGGCCAGCCCAAACAATAAATTAGTGAGGCTCCATCCCAACCAATAATGCATACTTATCATTGCAACTATGTAGGAAATGTAAATAGGACTGTAGTCCAGGCTAGTGAAGGCATAAATAAAACCATATTTGAAAAATAATGGGGGCTAGGAAGGTGGCTCAGTGGGAGAGCGCTTGCCTTGCATGCATAAGGCCCTGGGTTCGATTCCTCAGCACGACATAAGCAAAAAGAAAAAAAAAGCTGGAAGTGGTGCTGTGGCTCAAAGTGGTAGAGTGCTAGCCTTGAGCTGAAGAGCTGAGGGACAGTGCCCAGGCCCAGAGATCAGGCCCCATGACCAGACCCCCCAAAAAACAAAAAGAAAAAGAAAAATAATGGAAGCAAAAACAATGGCTCAAGTGATAGATCACCTATCTAGCAAGTGTGAAGCCCTGAGTTCAAACCCCAGGATTGCCAAAAAAAGACAATTGTGGAAATGTGAAAATATGGATTATATGTTATGGTTCTGAAAAACAATTGTTAATTAATTAATTTTCTAGGTCATGGGCTTGAACTCTGGGCCTGGGCACTGTCTCTCAGCTCTTCAGCTCAAGGCTAGCGCTCTACCACTTGAGCCACAGCGCCACTTCCAGTTTTCTGCTGGTTTATTGGGGATTAGAGTCTTAGACTTTCCTGCCCAGGTTGGCTTTGAACTGTGATCTCCAGATCTCAGCCTCCTGAGCAGCTAAGATTAGAGGCATGAGCCACTGGCACCCAGCACAGTTATTTTATAACATATGATTATGAGGTAGTAATTACATTAGAAATTCCAGTGTTTTGAGATATATACTGAAGTATGTAGGGAATCTAAAGGCAAGAGATTTGAGCTAGATCTTGGGGAAAATACCAATAAATGAAACAACTGTGGCAATAATTTGGTAACTGCTAATGGGCAAAGTTGTCATGCTATTATATTTTTATATAAATTTTACAATCTTTTTGATAGAAAGTCTCCTCTAAAAGGACAAGATTTTTTTTTCTTGTCAAGACAGATTTTTATCATTTTGTGTGCTAGTATACAGAGGCTTGAACTCAGGGCCTCATGTTCTTGCTTAGCTTTTTTTTTTTTTCTTTTTCTTTTTTGTTGGTCATGGGGCTTGTACTCTGGACCTGGGAGCTGTTCCTCAGCTCTTGAGCCACAGCACCACTTCCAGTTTTCTAGTGGTTAATTTGAGAAAAGAGTCTTACAGACTTACCTCACTGGGCTGGCTTTGAACTGCAATCCTCAGATCTCAGCTTCCTGAGTAGTTAGGATTACAGGTGTAAACCACCCGCACATGGCTAGCTTTTGTATTTATTTTTCAGGGTGTGTGTGTGTGTGTGTGTGTGTGTGTGTGTGTGTGTGTGTGTGTGTGTGTGTGTGTGTGTGTGTGTGTGTGTGTGTGTGTGTGTGTGTGTGTGTGTGTGTGTGTGTGTGTGTGTGTGTGTGTGTGTGTGTGTGTGTGTGTGTGTAGTTCTGAGGCTTTAACTCAAGGCCTTCTGCTTTCACTTGGCTTTTTCACTGAAGGATGGGGCTCAATCACTTGAACCCACCTCCACTTCCAGATTTATTTTGTGGGGGTCCTGGGACTTGGACTCCCAGAGCTTTTATGCTCTACCACTTGGGCCATAGCTCCACTTCCTGCTTTTTATTGGTTAACCAGAGATAAGAGTCTCACAGACTTTTCTGCTGAGGCTGGCTGGACTCAAACCACCATCCTATCTCAGCTTCCTGAGTGTCTATTACAGGTATGAGTCACTGGTGATTGGCCAAATTTTCATCTTTTATGGGATTATTATTCATTTGTGGATTATTTTCCATAGTCCTTTATGAGTTTTTCATGAGTCTAGGCACAAAATCACAGCCGTCAACTGGTTAAATTATACCTCCACTGTCATAGAGCATGTTTATGATGGGAGGCTCTTTTTTTTGAATATTCATATTAAATAATTTAAAATATAATACACAAGACAGAATAAACATAAATAAAAATCATTATATCTTCCCTCACCTCTTTTTTTTTTTTTGCCAGTCCTGGGGCTTGACCTCAGGGCCTGGGCACTGTCCATGAGCTTCTTTTGCTCAAGGCTAGTACTCTACCACTTGAGCCACAAAGCCACTTCTGGCCTTTTCAATGTATATAGTACTGAGGAATTGAACCCAGGGCTTCATGCATACTAGGCAAGCAATCTACCACTAAAGCCATATTCCCAGCCCTTTGATTATTTTTTTTTGTGACAGGTCCTTCTTATATAGCCCCAGAAGGATTCAAACTAAAAATCCTCCTGTTTCCACTTCCTGAATGTTTGGATTACAAGTATGGGCACCAGGCCCAGCTACCCTTGCCTTTTACATTATATATATAGTCAAGACCCAGAAAGGGGTGCTAAGGAATGAAAGCCATATTGGGGAGATAGGGACGCCATTTAATTCAGCTCTATCCCAAACTACTTGCATGTAGATGCTCATTTGAATTCAGTATTCCAAAATCCACATTATAAATTTAACAAACAAATTTCAGCCATGTGCCAGTACCTCCCACCTATACTCCTAGCTATTCAGGAGGCTAAGATCTGAGAAGTGAGGATGAAAGCTGGCCCAGGCAGGAAAGTCCATGAGACTATCTCCAATTAACCTGCAAAATGCCAGACTGAGGTTATGACTCAAGTGGTAGAATGCCGGCTATAAGCAAGCATAGCACAAGGCCATGAATTCAATCAAGTGCCAGTACACACACACACACACACACACACACACACACACACACACACTTCAATACGAAAAGTAAAAACGATTCAACTTAATCCAACTCATCATAGATCCTAGTAAAAATGTTTTTGCTTAGAGATAACCACTAAAACATGGTTTTCTAACAGCTAAAAAGTAAAAATAACCGAAATAAGGAACCAATAAAATGACTATATATAACTCTGTGCATGTGTGTGTGTGTGTGTGTGTGTGTGTGTGTGTGTGTGTGTGTGTGTGTATTATAGAACACTGTGCAATCATCAAAACAAATGTAAACTATTTAATGTCACAAAAAAAATGTTTCAGGCTGGGCGCTGGTGGCTCATGTTTATAATCCTAGCTACTCAGAAGGCTGAGATTTGAGCCAGAAGTGGAGTTGTGGCTAAAGTAGTACAGCACTACCCTTGAGCAAAAGAGCTCTGAGACAACGCCCAGGCCCTGAATTCAAGCCCCAGGACCAGCCCAAAAAGAAAGAAAGAAGATAAATAAATAAACAAAAGTTCATGGATTCTTACCAAATTAATTTTTATGAACTTAAAGAAATGGAACCATTACACTACTAGCTCATTAAAAGCACAGTACCTAGAAATCCTAATCTCTGGTCCTTTTTCTTTCCCTCCCTCTCCTTGTCTATTCATCCCATTGGTTGTGCTTATAATTGAACTCAGGGCCTACTAGCTATAATCCTAGCTACGCAGGAAGTTCAGTACCACTGAGTTCTACCCCAAACTCTTGTCATTCTATGCAGACAATCTTTTCGCTTCTATCTTTATAACTAAATACTATTCTAACACAGAGTGAGCAGTAATGTTGGAGGAATGAATGGTAACCCAGAGGTACATAGTCAGGAAAAAATCCTTATAGAATACCTTCAGAAATGAATTATACAACTTGTGGGTAGATGGGAGGGAAAAATTAGGAGAGAACAAGGGAAGGGTTGACATGCAAAAAGAAATGTATTCTTTATCTGACTTATGTTGCTGCAACCCCTCTATACATCCCTTTTATAACATTATTTTTTTTTTGGTCAGACATGCGGCCTGAACTCTGGGCCTGGGTACTGTCCCTCAGCTCTTCAGCTCAAGACTAGCACTCTACCACTGGAGCCACAGTGCCACTTCCGGCTTTTTCTGCTTATGTGGTGCTAAGGAATCGAACCCGGGGTCTCATGTATGCAAGGCAAGCGCTCTACCACTGAGCCACCTTCTCAGCCCACAATAAAAAATATTAAAAAGAGAATACCTTCAGTATTCATGACTATATACCACCTAATAGAGATTGAGCAAAGTCATGGTATATATTTAAGGGAAGTTATTTACTGGTATGTTTAGCCAAATGGACAATTCTTGGGTTTTCTTACTTGTAAATGCCTCGTGACATATTTTCAATGTATTTAGCTTTGTCTTGTACTCCACAGTGGTAATGGTAGGTTTTAACACAGGCTTTTATTTCACATCCAATAGTAGCACCAGGCTGACTGCAAAGTGTACATTTCTGTTTAAAAGAAAGAGAAAACAATCATAAGCAGTATTTACAAGTTTAGGCAATTTTATGTACTTCAGTAATAAACTTAGTCAAACATCCCAGTTTACAAACAGCAGCCATTTTCTTTTGAAAAAGTATAGCAATGAACCTACTATTATATAGCACATAATTAAAACTGTACTAACCATGAAAGACCTGATATCTCAATATATAGATAAGATACTCCTTGTTAATGCCAACCACAAAAACTACATTGCATTTCAGAGATTTTATTTTTATTTTTTTGGCAGTCATGGGGCTTGAACTCAGGGCCTGGGTGCTGTCCCTAAGCTCTTTCACTCAAGGCTAGCACCCTACCACTTTGAGCCACAGCACCACTCTTGTTTTTCTGGTGGTTAATTAGAGGTTAAGAGTCTCACAGACTTTCCTGCCAGGCTGGCTTTGAACTGTGACCCTCAGATCTCCACTTCCTGTGTAACTAGGATTACAGACATGAGCCCTCAACCACCAGCCCCCAGTTGATTTGATGTCGTTTCCTCCCAGAGCTCATTTCCTCTGATTGAGGGAAAGAATGAGAAAATAGGAAAGCAATATTCTCAGAAGAGGGAAAATTAGGCAAAAGGGCAGAGGGATACTAAAAGAGCCAAAACCTGTTCCACAATTTTCAGTTTGGCCTAAATCATCCTCACCTAAAGAATATTCTGAGAGGGTTGGGAAGGTGGTAGAGTGCTTGCTTAGCATGCATGAAGCCCTGGGTTTGATTCCTCAGTGCACAGAAACACAAAAAGCTGAAAGTGGTGCTATGACTCAAGTAGTAGAGTGCCAGCTTGAACAAGAAAGCTCAGGAACAGTTCCCAGGCCCTAAGTTCAAGCCCCAAGACTGGCCAAAAAATAAAAATAAAAAAGAAAGAAAGAATGTTCTGAGAAGCTAGGTGTCAGCAGCTTAGGCCTGTAATCCTAGCCATTCAGGAGACTAAGATCTGAGGATCAAGATTCAAAGCCAGCCAGGGCAAGGAAGTCTGTAAGACTCTTATCACCAATTAACCACCAAAAAAGACAGAAGTGGAGCTGTGGCTCAAGGGGTAGAGTGTTAGCTTTGAGCAAAAAAGAAAAAAAAAACCCTCAGGGATAACAATCAAACCATAAGTTCAAGCCCCAGGACTGACACCAAAAAAATATTCTGAGATAAAAAGTGACTGCCAGGCGCTGGTGGCTCACGCCTGTAATCCTAGCTACTCAGGAGGCTAAGATCTGAGAATCACGGTTCAAAGCCAGCCTAGGCAGGAAAGTCCGTGAGACTCATCTCCAATAAACCACCAGAAAACTGGAAGTGGTGCTGTGGCTCAAGTGGTAGAGCGCTCGCCTTGAGCTGAAGAGCTGAGGGACAGAACCCAGGCCCAAAGTTCAAGCCCCACGACCGACAGAAAAAAAAAATGTGACTGCTCAAAATGTAAGATTTTAATGCCCAGTGAGTTCACAAAACAATGAGTTAAGCAGATTTTTTTTTTATTATAGAACCTTTTATAGCTTTTCCTCTAGGAAGGGGTGCATAATAAAGAATTTTCAATTTTAGAGCTCTAGATGTTCTTTTATTTTGGAGTGGTGGGCAGTCTATTGGTGGGCCACTTTTTTTTTTGTAGGTTGTCGGGGCTGAACTCTGGGCCTGGGCACTGTCCCTCAGCTCTTCAGCTCAAGGCTAGCACCCTACCACTTGAGCCACAGCACTACTTCCAGCTTTTTTCTCCTTATGTGGTGCTGAAGAATTGAACCCAGGGTCTCATGTATGTTGAGGCAAGCACTCTACCACTGAGTCAACTTCCCAGCCCTGGTGGACTACTTTTAACATACAGAGAGAGACATGTTAAGTTAGCAGTTACTTAACTTTCAACGAAGAGGAACAGTAAGTTGACCAAGAGAACTATTTTCCCTCTCACTATTTGAATTTTTTTAAAATATGATATGACATTGTTACATGATGAGATAAAATGATTTCCCTGTTTTAGTCTAGAAGTTCTGTTCTTGAATGTATATGCTAATATTGGGGCTTGAACCCTGAGCCTTGTACTTTCCCTTAGCCTTTTTTTGCTCAAGGCTAGCATGCAATCATTTGAGCCACAGCTCTAGTTCCTGCTTGTGGATGATTAATTGGAGTTTCATGGATTCTTCTGTTCGGGGTAGCTTTGAACCTCAATCCTCAGATCTCAGTGTCCTGAGCAGCTAGGATTACAGGTCTGAGTCATCAGTATCAGGCTAGGTTCTCTTTTTTTTTTTTTTTTTTAGCACTTTCATTTTCAAAGTAAGTAAAGTATCAAACTAAATTAGATCTAAATGGAACCAATGACAATTTTAACATCTTCAAATAGGAAGTTTCACAAACAAAGGGTCGGTCATTGCTGGTACAGTCAGATAATAATCCTAAGTGTCTGAAATCATGACATAAAAGATGGAAGGGAACTTTAGAGTGGGAGGATCAGACTCACAGTCTGAATGCAAACATCAGCCTTAGCGACCTCTCTGATAAGACTAAGTACAAGTCCTGTCCTTCCAGTGAACTATTCTTATCTCCCCCAAAATTAAAACTGAAACGAATCAAACTTTTGCTTGTAATTCCCACTTTAAATGGAAATAGGGAGGATAGAGAAGTGAAGTGGTATTACCAAAAATGCAAAAAAAAAGTAGAGCCTTCAAAAAACATCCACACACATACAAAAACACAAAACAAAGACACAGAGGAGGGCACTGTTGGCTCAGGCCTGTAATCCTAGCTACTCAAGAGGCTGAGTTCTGAGGATCAGGGTTCAAAGCCAGGCCAGACTCATATCTACAATTAATCACTAAAAAGGTGGAAGGAAAGGCTCTAGCTCAAGTTGTAGAATACTAGCATTGAGCAAAAGAAACTCAGGGACAGCACCCAGGCCCTGAGTTCAAGAGTCAGGATTGGTATACACACACACATACACACAGACAAGGAAGAGGGACTGCCCTATACTACTTAAAGGATATAGAACCAAATGTAACATGAGATTCTCTTTTGGAATCCAATTCACATAAATCTACTTTATAGAGCAGTTTTGAGATAATTGGGGAAATGAATATGAACTGGAGGTGGGAGCTGTATGGTACTAAGAAATTAACTGTTATAGCTAAATTGTAATGACATTGCTATTGGGTAAGAAATTATTCAATTAAGAAATGCATACTGGCCAGGTGCTGGTGGCTCATGCCTGTAATCCTAGCTATTCAGGAGGCTGAGATCTGAGCATCTGGGTTCAATGTCAGCCAGGGCTTAAAGTCCTTGAGACTCTTACCTCCAATTAGCTAGTTGGAGATTAACCACAAGAAAACTGGAAGTGGAGTTGTGGCTCAAAGTGGTATAGTGGTAGCCTTGAGCAGAAGAGCTCAGGGACAGTGAGTGCCCAGGCCCTTAGTTAAACCTCACCATCAGAAAAAAAGCAAAAACAGGGGCTGGGAAGGTGGCTCAGTGGTAGAGCGCTTGCCTTGCATGCATGAGACCCTGGGTTCGATTCCTCAGCACCACATAAGCAAAAAGCCGGAAGTGGTGCTGTGGCTCAAGTGGTAGAGTGCTAGCCTTGAGCTGAAGAGCTGAGGGGCAGCGCCCAGGCCCAGAGTTCAGGCCCCACGACTGGACCCCCCCCCCAAAAAAAAAAAGAAAAAAAGAAAAAACAAAAACAAAAAACTTCAAGCAACAAGAATCCAAGGCATAAATGAAGTGAGCCAAAACTTCTTGATATCTGATGAATCAAAGTGATATAGATACACATAATGTTACTGATCTTTTTAATTTTGATATGTCCGAACATTTTCACAATAAAAATTGTAAATTCTTCCTAGAGATAAGTGCTGTCTTAAAGACTGCATTCCATTTTCATAAAGCTTAAAGGAGTAACTGATCAATATTGATGCCAATATTTCTCAAAACTACTTATTAATAATTCAGCAAATTTAAAAACATGAGACTAAAGTCTAGGCACAGTGGCTCACACCATACGTAGGCAAAAAGCCAGCCTAGGCAAAAAGTTACTGAGATTCTATATCAACAAACAAGTTTGGCCTGTGGTACATACCTGTAATTCCAGCATGGTAAGGAGGAGTGTAGTTAGGAAGGTGTAGTTAGGAGGATCAAGGTCCCAGGCTGAACCCAGACAAAAAAGTAAAACTCTATCCAGACAATTAATAAAGCAAACTAGGCTGGGGTCTGGCTCATGTTCTAGAACACTAGCAAGCACAAGGCTCTTAACTTTAATACTGTCAAATAAATAAGCGTAAATAATTTAAAACCTGAAAATGAAGTAAATTTTATAAGGGAAAATTTAAGGATATGATAAAAAAACATTACAACAGACATAAACATTTATGTTGACTTCAAATAGAAGACCTTAAAAATTTACAGAGCACTGGTGGCTCATGCCTTAATCCTAGCTACTCAGAAAGCTGACATCTGAGGATTGCAATTGAAAGCCAGCTCAGAGAAAAAGTTCATGAGACTCTGATATCCAATTAAGTACCAAAAAAGCTGGAAGTGGGGCTGTGGCTCAAATGCTAGCCTTGAGCAAATAAAGCTCAGAGATAGCACCTGGGCCCTGAGTTCAAGTGCCACAGCCAGCACACGCATGAAAAGTTTTCCTTTTATTGAAAAAGAATTAACATTGGAGAGGTTCTCAAGTGTTATTAGGTTCATGAAATTTTTTATTAAACAAGCTTATGTATTTAAACTTAATAAGGTTTGTCACAGTTGTAATCTCATTTATTTCATTAAAGTGCTCACAAATATCCTGAACTATAAACCTTCCCCATATAATTCTCTTAAGAAATGAAGTTACAGAGAATGAGGAGTGAGCTTTAGTATCACCAGCAGCCTTTATTACATTATAAATAAGTAATATAATAGTAGTAATAACATATGGACTACTTCATATTAAATTTCTTGATGGCTGGACAAATTTGACATACGTTCTAGATTTAAAACAGAGACTCAAGAAGAGTAATGTGCTACAACACAAATATAAAAAAAATCACAGACCATTCTTTTTCCTCGCTTTATCTCCTGGAGTACTGTTTTAATATCAAAGTCTCCAAATTCTGCTCTTGAGGTGGTGGTCAGCTGCACAGTGCCAGAGGAGAACAACTAGAAGAAAAATATAGGAACATTATCATTCATAGTCCTTAGGAGAGAGAGATGAAATCATACATCAAATGTGTTATATTACTTTAATTTCCACAGGAAAGGCTGACCTTTTTTCCCTCAATAATCAAGTACCAACACAAATATTTTAATATATGTATCTGATTACAATATGATTCATAATAAGGACATTGAAAAAATTCTAAGATCGACAGTAGTATCTGTTAAAAATATCCTGTTTTATACAATGAAGGTTTCAACACCATCATGCTGAGTGTCTCAACTGTTTTACATTCCCACAAATTTATTAAATCTACTACTTTTTTGTCAGTCCTGGATAGCATTCTACCACTTAAGCTACAGTGCCACTCCCAACTTTTTCTGAGTAGTTTTTTTGGAAATAAGAGTCTCATGGGCTTTCTTGCCCAGGCTGGCTTTGAACCACAATCCTCAGATCTTAGCCTCCGGTGTAGCTAGGCCTCTAATTTTAGCATCCCGCTAAAACCACTTTTTTTTTGTCCATCCTAGGAACTTGAACTCAGGGCCTGTGCACCGTCCTTCCGTGAGCTCTTTTGCTCAAGGCTAGCACTCTACCACTTTGAGCTACAGCACCACTTCCAGTTTTCTGATGGTTAATTACAGATAAGTCTCAAGGCCTTTCCTTTTCTCAGAAGGCTGAGGTCTGAAGATAACGGTTCAAAACCAGCCCAGGCAGGAAAGACCATGAGACTCCTACCTCCAATAAACCACCAGAAAACTGGAAGTGGTGCTGTAGCTCAAGTGGTAGAGTGCTCGCCTTGAGCTGAAGAGATGAGGGGCAGCATCCAAGCCCAGAGTTCAAGCCCCACGGCCGACAAAGAAAAAAGGGCTGGGAAGGTGGCTCAGTGGTAGAGTGCTTGCCTTGCATGCATGAGGCCCTGGGTTCGATTCCTCAGCACCACATAAGAAAAAAGAAAAAATCCCAAAGTGGTGCTGTGGCTCAAGTGGTAGAGTGCTAGTCTTGAGCTGAAGAGCTGAGGGACAGACAGTGCCCAGGCCCAGAGTTCAGGCCCCACAACCAGACCCCCTCCAAAAAAAAGAAAAAGAAAAAAATCCCAGGTAAATCTGTTATGTAATCTAGTCAAGGCCTTTTTATAGGGCTGGGCGCTGGTGGCTCACACCTATAATACTAGTTACTCAGGAATCTGAGATCTGGGTTCAAAGCCAGTCCAAAGAAGAAAGTTCACTTATCTCCAATTAGCCTACCAAAAAGACAAAAGTGGAAGCTGTGGCTCAAATAGCAGACAGCCTTGAGCAAGAAAAGATAAAGGGACATGCCTAAGTCCTGAGTTCAAGCCCCAGGCCCAACACACACACACACACACACACACACACACACACACACACACACACACACACACACACACACACACACACACACACACACACACACACACACACACACACACACACACACACACACACACACACACACACACACACACACACACCTAGCACAAATGAGATGATTAATTTAATATAATTTAAGTTAAAAAACATTTGTGCATTCTGAAAATCAGGCCTGGATCTACAGAAACAAAAATAAAAAACATATCTGTATCTTATTTTTGTATTACAGGAATTTAGGAGGATATTAGGGAAGCTAGGCTCATAAATAAATAACTGTAATACAGTGCTCTAATTACAGCAATAGTAATTGATTTATTAGGGTATACTAGAGGTCTTAAAATATCTTCTTTGTATGTGCAGGTCCTAGGGCTTGAACTCAGGGACTGGGTGCTATTCTTCAGGTAGTACTGTGGCTCAAGTAGAGTGCTAGCCTTGAGCTGAAGAGCTCAGGGAAAGCGGCCAGGCCCAGAGTTCAAGCCCCACAACTATCTAAAATAAAAAAAAAAAAAAAATCCCCATATTTTTTGTGTGTGCATGTCATAGGGTTTTAATTCAGGGCCTGGGTGCTATTCTTCAGCTTTTTTTCTCTCTACCACTTTCACCACAGCTCTCCTTCTAACTTTTTTGGTGCTTAATTAGAGATAAAGTCTCTTGAACTTCCTGCCTGGGGTGGCTTGGAACCACCATCCTCAGATCTCAGCCTCCTGAGTAGCTAGGATTATAGGCGTGAGCCACCAGTGCCTGGCTCTTACAACATCTTTATAGACACTTATGAAGATAAAATTTTTATAGTTGTAAATTAACTAGAATTATAGTTATACTTTCCAATACAAACTATATGATGTAGAATGTATCATCATGTTAATTATTATAATATAGTACTTATATCAATATATTGCATATTGTGTTATAATAAATTATGGTCCTATTATAATTATTATTATTATAAGCTAATTAAAGATCCTTTGCAATATCTTAACTATAATTAGTATTACTTGAAAACCTACAAAAATATAAATGCTGTCCTTTGAACGTCTCTAGTTTATTAAGATTTGAGACTCTAGAATATTGCTATTCATGAGTAAAGCATTAATGCCGAAGGAGAGCTACTGTACTTGATTACTAGCTGAGTGGTTTTCAGAAACAGGCTTAAAAGCACATGAAAAGAACCATACTTACCATGCACTTATAATGTGCAGCTGCCTTCTTGGCATTAAATATATGCAATTTTCCTCTGGCTTCATTTTCTTCCTCCCCTACATGACAAAAGCCACATTTAGGCCTAGTGTCACTAGGACTGCTTCTGTGGGGAGACCTGTCTCTCTGTAAATGCCAAAGGGAAAAAAAATGATTAAATTGCTGAGTACTTCAAGCTTTTTAACATCTCAAATGGTAAGCCTTACCTATAGACACAGTTTAAATGAAATATTCAAATTTCAACAAAAAGTAAAAATCGACCCTCTTTCTACTTACATAGGAGCTACTTTCCATTTCGTCTGTTCCATGGGAAGATGTGGACCTGGTATCTTCTGACACGCCTTTAAAATTAGTTTTTCTTGGTCTTCCTTTACGACTTTTCTTTTTACTTTTTGGGGATGAAGGCTCCAGTTCATGTTCATTAAAACTTTCATCTAAATCAGCTGTTTAAAAAAATGAATAAAAGCTTTATAGAGACCAATCTTAAAATGAGATCATGGTTCCTTAGGACAGAGGTTTTCCTTAGGACAAAATTGTCCATACAAGGGAGGAGCCAAAGCCAGGTGCTGGTGGCTCACACCTGTAACCCTAGCTGTTCAGGAGGCTGAGATCTGAGGATCACAGTTCAAAGTCAGCCCGTGCAGGAAAGTCTGTGAGACTCTTATCTCCAATAAACTACCAGAAAACCGAAGTGGCACTGTGGCTCAAGTGGTAGAGTGCTCACCTTGAGCTGAAGAGCTGAGGGACAATGCCCAGGCCCAGAGTTCAAGCCCCAGGACTGGCATGCAGGCATGCTGCACACACACACACACACACACACAAACACACACACACATACACACACATCTCAATATCATTAGGAAAAAAAATGTTTATACCCTTTGGGTAACAGAGGGAGTCAAAATGATCAAAGTATATTATGTGCATTTGTCACAATGAAAGCCACTACTTTGTACAATTAATCTCTGCTAGGAAAAAAATAAAATTAATATTCTAGTGAAAATGAATATTCTAGGTAGTGATTTCAGTTATAAGACTTGATTCCTAAGTAGCTGAAAATGCCCATGAAAACATTAATATAAAGCTAATCACAAGGACCCGTGCTTATATTTTCCATGACTGCAACCTATTACTTTTATCTCCCCAAGTCAAAATTATAAAAATGTTGTAACACTTAAAAATTGCCTTTTCTAATTATAAAAGATCTAGCTGCATAAAAGCAAAAATCCTCCTTCTGCCTCCTACTTGCACCTGCTGTGCAGTCCCAGCTGGCCTGTGGCCAGCCTCATCTTCATCACACCGCCTAGCTGCCCTCCGTATGAAGTAACCACTGCTAACTGCTTCTTGTCAGCCTCACAGATTCAATGCTGTAGTTTGAGTCTTGGCTTTGCCACATACACAACGGCCTTAGATCTGAGACCTACCTCAGGAGGTCCTTGAGTAAATGACTTGAGTTAAGCAGATCAAGTACTTAGAACAGTATTTGCTTATAAAACATTCACGGGGTTTGGGGGTTGAGGGGTGGGGGGGTAGTTATGGAGGTGGGAGGGAAGGGATGGTAGGGGAAAAACAGAAGGAGGCAACAATGCTTGATAGGAAATGTATTCATTACCTTGCACTCTTATTCAATATAATGCTTGAAAAATTAGAAAGAACAATAAACAAGGGAAAAATAATGTGAGTGCAAATACAAAAAAAAAACCATTCTCAACAAACATCAACAATTGCTTTCTCTAGGTAAGTTTGTGTGCGTGCGTGCGTGCGTGCGTGCGTGCGTGCGTGCGTGCGTGCGTGTGTGTGTGTGTGTGTGTATCCATCCTGGGTCTCAAACTCAGGGCCTATAAACTGCCCCTTAGCATTTTTGTTCGAGGCTAGTGCTTACCACTTGAGTCACAGCTCCACTTCTGGGTTTTCCTAGGTGCCATCACTGCACTTTTTCTTTTTTATTATTATTAATTTATGAGGTGATGTACAGAGGGATTACAATTACATGAGTCAGGTAATGAGCACATTTCCTTTTGTACAGTGTCTTCTGTTCCCTCATTCTCTCCTAGTCCCTCCCTCCCATCTCCACCCACGAGTTGTATAGTTCATGCTCATCAGTGTCCAGTGAGCTCCAGTACTACACCTTTTCACCCTTTTTCCCTGGAGTTCTGTATTCTCCCTCCACCCACCTGAAGATATACATGTGAATACACCCTATATACAGTAAAGAAGACAGAATCATCAAAAACTAAAAACTAAAGAGGTCTCTTATTATCATATCTTGGAGTTCATTTCAGTATGTATATTATTTTATAGAAATATGAAGAGACACTTAGGCATTGTGCCTTTGTGATTCTCTCCTACGAGTATCCTCTTTTGGTCTCACTGTGTGTGAGTATCTAGAATCTTGTATAATTTATCATATCCCAGTGTATTTTAGGTCTAAATCAGACAAAATATGTGCCATTTGTCTCTCTGAGCTTGGCTTACCTTACCCAGATTTATTTTAGTTCCATCCATTTCCCTGCAAATGACATTATTTTATTCTTTCTAATTGTCCCTACACTTTTTCAAGGTTAGCACTCTACCACTTGAGCCATAGATCCACTTCCAGGGTTTTCGTGACTAATCGGAGGTAAGTATCTCCTGCTCAGGCTGGCTTTGAACTAAGATCCTTGGATCTCAGCCTCTTCCTTCTGGTATTTTGCTGGTCAACTGGAGAAAATAATTTCATTAAGGTCCTTCTCATGTCGCTTCAAACCACAATGCTTAGATCCCAGCCTTCTGGGATGCTAAGATTACAAGCATGAGCCACCAGTGCCCAGCGTAAAGATATTTAAGGATTTGGTGTGTATATAACAAATGGGATTCTAAGCATACAATTCAGCATGATGCCTTTTCTAATCCATGAAACCTTCCAAGTCCATTTTTACAAATACTTTCTTCTGTGTGAGAGCTAATCCTAATCCACTACATCTAACTAGGCCCTTTAATACAAATGTAAGTTTTTCTCATTTTTTTAATGTTACAAATGTTGTAATGAACTTTCTCCATTCAGCTTTGCTTACTAATACGTTATTTTAACAGCTTTCCTGTGTAAATGTCTGTGTGTGTGTGCGCGCGTGCACGCGCATGCACAGGTGCATACAACAGGTGTGTTTTAGAAATACAGGAAGAGCCAACATTTGAGCTTTTGGGGTTTACTATACCAGATTGCTATGCAGTTTTTGTTGATGTTTTGTTTTTTGTCAGTCATGGTGCCTGGCTCTGGGGCTGGACGCTGTCCCTGAGCTCTTCAGCTGAAGGTTAGTGCTCTACCACCTGAGCCACAGAGCCACTTACAGCCTTTTCTGCTTATGTGGTGCTGAGGAATCGAACTCAGGGCCTCATACATGCAAGGCAAGCACTGTTACCACTGAGCCACCTTCCCAGCCACTGCTATGCAGTTTGTTTTTTTTTTTTGGTCGGTCGTGGGGCTTGAACTCTGGGCCTGGGCGCTGTCCCTCAGCTCTTCAGCTCAAGACGAGCGCTCTACCACTTGAGCTATAGCACCACTTCCGGTTTTCTGGTGGTTTATTGGAGATAGGAGTCTCATGGTCTCTCCTGCCTGGGCTGGCTTTGAATCGCGATCCTCAGATCTCAGCCTCCTGAGTAGCTAGGATTACAGGCGTGAACCACCAGCGCCCGGCTCTGCTATGCAGTTTTTATGCAGTATTTGAGACTTATCTGACCCTCAGAACAACCTCATAAAGTGGTATTAATCATCTTCCCAATCCCCAGCCCTATTTTAAAGATAAGGAAATTCAGGAAAATTAAGTAATTTGGGCCAAGGACAGGAAGCTACAGAGTGGGGCAAATTTTTATCAATGAGTAACTACAAGTATGCTTTTAAAATGGGAATACTCACTGTCACAGAATTGCATATGCCCTTGGAAGTTAGAGAATAGACAGTTATACATATGTTTACATTTACACTGAACTGCTCTGGACCTATACATAAGAAATTGATAGCAATGTTCGCTTTCAGTAAAGGAATTTGGAAATTGAGATACAACGGTGAGAGTGGAAGAAAAGCCTACTTAAGGTGAATGTAGGTTTTACTGGTGGTCTTTACTGTTACAGTACAGTTGCAATTTCTAAAAATATAAGTAGGGGACAAAACAAGGTCCCGTTCCTGGTCTTTTAAAAACACAACTCTCGCCAGGCACTGGTGGCTCACGCCTGCAATCGTAGAGACTCAGAAGGCTAAGATCTGAAGATCACTGCTCAAAGCCAGCCCGGGCAGGAAAGTTCACAAGATTCTCATCTCCAATAAATTACTAAAAACACCAGAAATGAAGCTATGGCTCAAGTGGTAAAGTACTAGCCTTGAGCAAAAGAAACTCAGGGATGGTATCCGGGCCTTGAGTTCAAGCTACAGGACTGGCAAAAAAAAAAAAAAAAGGAGAAAACTCTCAGATGTTTTTTTCAGTTTCACTTTGTCTCTGATTTGGTCACAATGGGGCAAGAGGAGCCACTAATTCGCCTCCAAGTACTACAAAGTTGTTTCTGTTCCTTAAATGACTATTTTTTTTTGTCTGTTATGGGGCTTGAACTCCAGGCCTGGGCACTGTCACTGAGTTCTTCAGCTCAAGGATAATGCTCTACCCGTTGAGCCATAGTGCTACTTCTGGCCTTTTCTGTTTATGTGGTGCTAAGGAATCGAACCCAGGGCCTCATGCATGCAAGGCAAGCACTTTACCGCTGAGCCACCTTCCCAGCCCATTAAATAACTTCTTAACCAATATTCCCCTCTGCCTTCATTGTCCTGGCATACTCTCTTTTTCTGCCCTCCTCAGAAGGTGTCACAACATTAACAGTGTAAAACAGAAAGGACCACCAAGATAAAACATGTAACTGCCATTTAACTGGACAAAAAACAAAATTTCCTCATCTATCAAATGGAACTGAAAGCAATTCCTTCCTTGTAAGTCTGCTTTAACCAATGACTGGGGAGGCAGGTATGACAGCTTATACCTGTAATGAGAGTACTTAAGAGGCAGAGAGACAGGAAGATAACAAGTTTGAGGCCAGCCTAAGCTACACAGGGAGTTCAAATGTCATCCTGGGCAACACAGTGAGAATTTTTCTCAATAAAACCAAATCAAAATGAATTAAACAAAAAACACAAACACTGGGGCACTGGTGCCTCATGCCAAAATCCTAGCTACTCAGGATGCTAAGATCCTGGTTTGAAGCCAGCCAGGGAAGGAAAGTCTATGAAGGAAGGAAAGTCTTATTTCCAATTAACCACCAAAAAGCCAGAAGTGGAGCTGTAGCTTAATTGGTAGAACACCAGACGTGAACAAGAAAGCTAAGAAACAGAGCCCAGGTCCTGAGTTTGAACCCCAGGAGCAGTACGCACGCGTGCGCGCGCACGCACGCACACACACACACACACACACACACACACACACAC